TAAAATAGTAAAAAAATATTTATTTCCATTAATATATGAAAAAATGATTATTATTTTAAAACAAATTTTAAATAAAAAAACTCTATTATTTTGTGACATAGTCTCATAGAGAGTAAAAGATATTAATCAATTTATTGAATATGTGGGTATCAATTAAGTATGGTCATCTTTTAATCCATCCAAAAATAATAATCATTTTTTGATTCAAAATTTGTTCCAATTATCTTTTTAAAAATTATAAAAAGTCCATTTTCAAAGCAACAAATTTGAAGCTTCAAAATTTGCAGCTAGAAAGTCTAATTAGAAGTTAGATTCTCAAATAAATAAACAAACTTTGATTCTTAGGCTTTTTCCTAAGAATCAAATTAAGTTGCTGCAACAAAGTAGAAAATGAACTGGTATAACTACAACCCTTTGTTCACATGCCCTTGAAAGAAAATGAAGAGCAAAAGTTTGAATTGGAGGATTATAAGGCAACCCTATTTTCTTGGTATTGACAAAACAAAGGTGACGACGGGGCTAGGGTGAGTAGGATATGTAGTTCTCAAGTGATAAGGTAAGAGAAATTTGGGTAGCATGAATTGGGGTCATGAGCAGATTTCATTGTCATGTTTCTTTGACATAAAATGTTTCTTTGTTTTTCTCTCTTTTTTTCTTCTCTTCCCTTTTAATCTCTTTTGGCCCGATCAAGAAAATCAAATGCAAAATTGGGGGAACCAATGCTATAAATGAAGATCAATTTTGGTTGCTAATCACAGGTGATGTGTATGGGACCCTTTGCACGGCCATATTGCCATATATTTTAATCCCCCAAAGCTTTTCATCTTACATTGTATAATTAGAGAGAGTAGAAATTAAAGTCTCAGAATTTTAAGGTTATATATACATATATATATTTAAATTTTTTATGTATACAAGAGCAAGGAAAATTAGTGATTACTATAAAAATTAATATAATTCTTATTTTGTATTCTATGTGCAAATGTACTACTAATTATAATATATATGTTAAAATTTAAATTAATTAGATATATTTAATTTATTTTTGAATAATATATAATTCAATACTCAAATAAATAATATAAAATAATAAAAAATGTTAATAAGCTAAATCTGAAAAAAAAGTGTTATGAATAAAAATATTTTAAAATTATGTTATTTCAATAAACTCTAATTAAATAAAAAAAATTAAAATAATAAAATTTTAAAGTAAGAATGAAGATTGTATATTTATCTTTTTTCTGTGATGCTTTATTAAAATATTGTAAGTTTAAAGGGCTTTTCACCTAATTTTCTTTGCAGGACTAACAACTAATTAAATTTTAACCTCATATAAAATATAGGTTCTTTTTTTATATGGTTACAACTATTAGTGAACTTTAAATTTAGAACTTAAGATACATATAAATAGAATATCAAATCTAAATATACATTGTACAAAAAATTATAACTATTGTAAAATCTTGTTTGAGCCTTTGATGGAATAATTCCATTGGTTCTCCTGACAATATCTAAACTACTTTAGTTCGGTGACAAACCTGTGCTCTAGAATCAAATAGATAAATGCTATATATCTCGATCAAGCTCAGCACATATTTCTGCTTGTGGTGAGTAGTGGATGATGGCAACATTTGGACCGACAGAAGAAATGGTAGGAAAACATAGACCTCTAAAGTGCTGCAATCAAACAAAAAACAATTAAACGGTGCTTTTCATCATGCATATATATAATCCTAAAGTAAATTTGACACAGGAAATTGAAACCAAGATATAATATTAATCCTGTGCTTGACAAAAATTCAGCCCACAAACATTTCTAGATTATGCTCTTAAAGGACATTCACAATATTTTAAAGTTAGTACACATAATCAAGTAGCAGCATGACACATTCATCGAAAAAACTTCCAAGGTAAAGTTTCTCAATCTTAAGACTTTCATTGACAGAAGAGAAGATACTAAGGTTTGCATTTGTAAGAATTTAAACATAACATTGTCATGCATATGTATGGTTGCAAAAGAGTTTCAAAAAAGAAAAAAGGGAAATAAACATAGAAAAAAATTCTTCCTTGTTTTGAGGAAGATATCTTGTCCTTCCACCACACTTAATACACAGAAATAAGCATGAAGGGCAGCTAGGATCAGA